GAATCTGACGTGTTTTCTTAATTCTGTTATTTTCTGGCAGTAGCATCCATGGTGCAAGTCAATCTTTTCTTCCTTCTTACCAGCACTATCTTTTTAAATAGCTCCAGCTGCATTTTGTTGATATTTCTGCTATTGCTTTCTGGTAATGGATTTCCAGTTCTTTGCAAAGTGTCCCATTTATAACAAACATAGCGTCTCTTCTCCCATTTGTATATTAACCTCCTGTGCCTTTTGGTATACTTCTGGTCAACCTTCACTGATTTGGAATTCAACTGGATATTTTTGGGCTTGCCAGTTATACCCCCCCCCCCACACACACACACATGGGCTTCCATATTCTGTTCTGCCAGCTTGATCATCTCCTCCACATCTTTTGGTGCTCTCTCCTTTCAGAACAGTGACATGTTAGTTAAACACGCGATCATGAAATGTTCAAGTACTCATAGGTCTGCCAGCCCCTCAAACTATTGCCACATTTGACCATGTCAGTCCATCTTGTGAAGTATCACCATAGACATGCCACAAATTGAAATACAGTTTCTCCAGTGTCAGGTTTGACTTCTCTGAACTTCCAGCAAAAACCTTCTTCAGTAAGTTCGTATTGTTTCAGCAAAGCCACTTTTAATTTGTCATAGTAAATAGCATCTTCTGACATCATGTCTGCATATACTTGTAGGCTTTTTCCTGTGACAAGTGGGCTGAGACAGACTGCCCAGAGATCTTTGTCCCAGATCTTTCCATGTCATCTTTATGTTCATCAAATTTGGGTAGCTCAGGTCGGCTGGCCCTGACTCTATTGTCACTCTTGGGTCCTTTGGTTGGGTGAGCTTTGCAATCTCAATTTGTGCTCTTATTCTCTCTCTTCCTATTTCAAATATTTCCCTTCTCTCATTTTCTTCTCTCTCCTTTTCTCCTTTCAGTTTTTCTTCCTCTTTTCTCTGTTGCCACTCTTCTCTCTGCAGTTGTTGTTGTGTTTAACAAACTCTCATAATTCACTGTCTTTTAACTCCAGATGCTCTCTTTTTTCTATCCATTTATCAAAATTTGACATCGTTTTCTAGCATGATTGTAATCTCCATACTATTTGTGCTACTGCAGTTGTTCACGGTTACTTCTACTGCCCCATTCACCACTGTATAATCCTGGCTGTGGCTCACCAAATGTCAGAAACTTACTTTTTAGCAGTATATATAGTAATGTAAATATATGGATGTGTTGGGCTAAGGATTCTTTTACAGTAGGTGTCTGTGACTTGTTGGTGATAAATTCAACAATAAACGAACAGCATATATTCCACTTGTTTTAAAATAATATATATATATATTTTCGAAACAAGTTAAACATATGTACAAATATTCTTTACACTATGGAGATCATAGTTGTATCTTGAACATTATGTTACGACAGCGGAAGTCACGTGACGCTAGTAACACGTCATAAGCTTCTAGAAAATTCATGTCCCTTCGTGAAGCCTCGAGTGTTTACTAGATGTGCGGTATTCTTGTATATAAGACCGCCAAGAAGTGACGGCAACAATGTAATGAAATTGAATTGCAGACAGAGATAGAGGCGACAATTGAGTCAAGCGCGTGAATCGTTCGTACGTTGTTTAAGTTATAGCGTGACTGTGGAAATTAAGTGTATTGCAAAGTTGTATTGAGAAAGAATAAACTAGTTTTATTTAAGAAAGGACTTGTATCGCTAAAGTTTCTTCGGAAAGAATTTTTACGGAAAATTAACAAACGAACACAGAGGTGTAAAAATTGGTGTCAGAAGTGGGATAAAAAAATGGAAACGAGAAGCGGCAAATCAAACTACAGCTTGGCAGATGTGATGGCAGCAATACAAGAGCAGCAAAAGAAACAAGAAGAACGAAAAAAGAAACAAGAAGAGAGATTGCAGCAGCTGTTGGAGGAAAAAGAAAAGAAACAAGAAGAGAGACAACAGCATTTGCAAGAAAACCTGCAACAGTGGCAGCTCGAACAGCAAAATAAACAAGAAGAGAAATTACAGCAGTGGTCGGAGGAAAAAGAAAATAAACAGGAAGAGAGATTACAGCAGTTGTTGGAGGAAAAGGAAAAGAAACGAGAAAAGAAACAAGAAGAGAGACAACAGCATTTGCAAGAAAACATGCAACAGTGGCAGCTCGAACAGCAAAATAAACAAGAAGAGAAATTACAGCAGTGGTCGGAGGAAAAAGAAAATAAACAGGAAGAGAGATTACAGCAGTTGGTGGAGGAAAAGGAAAATAAACAAGAAGAGAGATTACAGCAGTTGTTGGAGG